CTGATTATTATATAGGATTTATTGTATATAGCACCAGTCCCGAGTCCGGGTGACACCCCGCCGAGACGTCATGGCGCATGCGCGGCGATCTTATTGATCTCTGCCGGTGGCCATCTTGGTGATGGATGCCGGCAGAGAGAGGAGGAGACAGTCACCCGGCAGGATAAGGTATGCCCCCTCCTCTCTCTTGACACTGGCGGGCTCTGGGTCCATGACCGAGTGCCCGACTTTTCCGTGGGGGGGGGGAGAGGAAATGCTTCCTCCTGCCTGCGGGAGACTGATGACATCATCTCAGCTTAGACAAAGTCAGTGACTGGAGCTCGGGGACGGCTTTTTGTTGAAACTTTATTTAAAATTGATGCAGACGCTGTATGTGGGAAAGTAATAGAAACATATTGGAGGAGACTGTGACTGGAAGGCCATTGAAGATCAGCAGATTCATATCCTGGAATATAGATTTGGAAGGTGAAAACACATAACAAACATATGGAAAGATTCACCACGTTGGGTGAATGTGCACGGAACTAGGAATGTGTAGCCTGGTGAACCTGCGCATGTGTACAATGATGGGACAGCTCAGGAGATCCCTTGGCCTCCGTCAGTCATCAATCTTCTGAAACATTCGTCCTGATCCCGCGCTTCCCGCAGACGTGGAGTCCCTCTCTCTGTACTCGTACCGGCCGCTCCTCCCCCATGGTTCCCGTTTTATGGCGGACAAGTTCAGACACCGGCTCGCCATTAAATTCTAGGAGAAGGAGTTTCCGGCTGATGCCAGGAATGTTCCCGGGAAGGAATGAGACGGTTCCTGTGCAGTACATATATATGTGTATATAAAAGACGCGGCGCGGCCGTCACGGATACATCGCGCACCATCCAGCCATAGTTTGTGTCCTCCCGTTACCCTAAGGAGAACTATGGGGAAAAGACTTAACCCCATAGTTCTCCTTTAAAGGGGACATGCGCTAAGAATAAAAACGTCTGCCGCCGCTGCTGACCGATCTTTCACCACTTCAGTTCCCGGGGACGATCTTCTCTTATAACTCCTCGAGTCCCGGAGCGCTGCCGCCATTTCTCTGTTTCGTATTTTGGATCTTTTAGACTTTGTAGTCTTCCCTCGCACACGGCGTCATCCTTAGGACAGAGAGGACTTCACTTTCATATCAGATTTGGATACACAGTTTTTTTTCTGGGTTTTAATCAGATCGTTAAAAATGAAATAATTAAAGGAGAACTATGGGGTCAGTGTTTTTTCCCCATAGTTCTACTAAGGGTCACGGGAGGACATAAACTAGCGTCCTCCCGTCACCCTAGGCTCAGTATATAGGGAGCTACAGCTCGCGGTATACTGAGACGCCGCAGCCGGGACGGATCCCGACATTACTGTCTGGATGCGCCCAGCTGCGTGATTGACACGGAGAGGGGGGGGATCCCTGCAGGGAGCTGTGAGTGACAGTCACGGCTCTCTACACGGATAGATCGAGATTGTATCAGGTTCTGGGTTCAGATATAGGAGAATCTTTACAGACATGGTGGCAATCATTTTTGGGGTGTACACCCTAAATCTGATGACACCAGAAGTGGCTTGGTGAAGCTACGTAAGGTCTTCAACTTGGGAAGATGTCTACTCGAATATGACTGACTACCAGGCCCGGATTCCCCACAAGGCCACCGAGGACTGGCCTCGGGGCGGCAGGGCGCAGAGGGGCGGCAGCGGTGTCCTTGTGGGGAAGTTGCCCTCTCTACATTCAGTCCTGCTTTGCACAAGCCGAGCTAAATGTAGAATGAGGAAAGCCGATTGTTCGTTTACATGTGAACTCAGAGATCACATGTACACAGTGTGCAGCCTCCTCCCCTCCCCCCTGCACTTACCTCTCTCCTCTGGTTCCGTCCTCCGCCGCCGAGTCTCTCCTCACTGCAGTGATCAGAGCGGCCGGGTTAAAAGTAACCCTGCCGCTCCGTGTAGACAGTGAGGGGGGAGAGCCGTGCTGTGCTGTGCCGTGCTGTGCTGTGCTGTGCTGTGCTCTTCCTCTCTCACCTGTCACAGGAGTTCCAGCACAGTGCTGTGCTAGAACTCCTGTATTGGAGGTGACAGGGTCAATAAAGAGAACCTGTCACCTCCAATTGCTATCACACAGGGGATTGTTTTTTTCTGTGTGATAGCAATAAAGTTAGGTGCAAAAAAAAATTAATTGATAAAGAATTTTTTTTTGAATAAATAAAAAAAAATAATATGAAATAATAAAAAAAAGGGGGGGGGTTCCAGTTGTCCAGCCATCCTACCCAGATCGCTGACATCACTGGTTGCCGGGAGTCGGTGGAACGCCATGCCGAGCTTCCCGTTAGGCTCCCTGACAACCGATGAAGTCAGTGAGCTGGGTGGGAAGCCAAACAAAGTGTCACAGGTTGCCAAGAGCTGCCGTCCCCCAATGAGATGCCGCCTGAGGTGGCCACCTCAGTCTCCCTTATTATAGGGACGGCCCAGTGTGGCCCCTGGGTACTGGTTTTGTGGCCCTTTACAGAACCCCGGCACTCAGTGTGAAAGCATTTAGAAATTATAATGACAGTGATCCCTATCAGCCCCGTGACTGTCTCATATGGTATGTCTTCAGTCTCCGAGCACCCCTGTGTCTGCAGCCTCTGCTCATCTCCTCTAGTGTGCCTGAAGTCTCCGACAGTCTCCTGTAATATACTGATCATTAGCTGTGGCCCTTTAGAGCTGTCTGGGACCACAGTCGGGGCCCCTCGTGTTTTGTCAGCCGACAATTACCGGTGCAGGGTCATATTTTCACTAATATGCTTCAAGTAGCGATGTGTAGCCACTAGGGGGAGCCCCATGGGGGTTTCCCTGCTGTCCATCCCGGGGGGACTGCTGACATCGGCGCGCAGAGGTTTGCAGTGGGCGGAGCCAGAGGCATCCATAATGATGTGTGGGTACACAGGGAGCACAGCATGCATGTGACCAGTCGCCATCTTTGAGCAGGAAGAGGGATCTCCCGTCCCCGGCTCTGCGTTGTTACAGTTTATATCAGTGAAAGATAAAGAAAGAAATGCCGATAGCGTGTGCGCGGCGTTCGCACGGGCGGCGTGACCTCTGACCCCGCAGCCTGGATTCCCATCAGACCGGTTCCTCCTGTTATGTGTTCAATCCCAAATCATCAACTGAGCCGAGCTGCTCCTATAAATCGCCCGAATCCCTCTTCTTATTACCTCTCCGCAAATCAGAGGGAGAGACAAGACTGCATTGCACAATGAGATCCTGACATGTTTCAGGCACCGGGGATAGAGGAGGAGGTGCTCATGCAAAGGGGGGGAGGGGGAGTATATGGGGGGTCTCAGCTACCTCAGCCTAAACAGAGCTCATAAATCATCACCCCCCCTAATACAACTCATGACTCTGGAGGTCATACCTCTGTACCCGAAGAGAGCTCATACCTCATACTACGAATCAGGGGCGTAACTAGGAATCATAGGGGCCCATAGCAACATTTAGTATGGGGCCCCGTGATTGCTAGTTATGCTTCTTGCAGAGCCCACCTGATATACCAAACAGCCCACCTGAGAGTGACCCTGCAGAGCCCACCATAGACTCTCTATGGTGGGCTCTGCGAGGTCTCAGGTGGGCTGCACACCTCTTACCTGTCAGCGCTGTCCGCCTCCGTGGTCACCGGGCCCCGCCTCCCCCTCCGTGCCCCCCCTCCTCTTCTATCGACGGGCCCCGCCTCCTCTTACATCACTGGCCCCACCTGCTCTTAGGTCGCTGGCCAGTGATGTAAGAGGAGGCGGGGTTGCGCTTAGGCGGGCCCCGCCTCCTCCTTCACTGCGAACCTCCTTCCGCAGCCGCTGCCGAGCTGTGTCAGTGACAGCCAGCACCCTGATATGCCATAGCGACCCAGGCGGCCCACACGGCATCAGAGGGATGCCTGGTCTGGGGCCTCCCTGTGCCCGGGCCCCATAGTGGGCCGCCTGAGTCGCTATGGCGATTATTACGCAACTGCTACGAATAGAGCTCATACCTCATACAATGAAGAGAGCTCATACCTCATACAATGAATAGAGATCATACCTCATACAATGAAGAGAGCTCATACCTCATACTACGAATAGAGCTCATACCTCATACAATGAATAGAGCTCATAGCTCATACAATGAATAGAGCTCATACCTCATACAATGAATAGAGCTCATACCTCATACAATGAATAGAGCTCATACCTCATACAATGAATAGAGATCATACCTCAAACAATGATGAGAC